CTGGTAGCTTCGGGGAGGTATGAAGGAAGCATGCCTTTTAGCTCTTGTTTTCAGTTCTTCTCGGGCTGTCGGGGCAGGGGCTCCAGTGGTGTGCCTGTCGCTGCTTCATCCTTATCACACCCTATTTCAGGTGCCATTAGACACTAAATTTCTAGTCTGCTGAAATGGATGGAATATCGTCTCAGAATACCACTTCATGCGGTATTTATACCCTTTCCCTTCCTAGCTCAGAACAGGCCTTTCAAGTTGCCTACTGCACTGTTTTCCAACTTCACCTTGTGAGGTCCCCTCCACTGTCCCCATCACACACGATTCTCAGCGGTGCTACCGCTACATGTTTGTCAGACTCATATCCCCTTCTCCATTAGTGTGGTTCTCTCTAGTCCAACCCCGGCCTGCTGAAGCAACCTCTTTCTTTCTGAGCTCTTTCTTCCATGTCTTTTCTGCGGGATAAAGGCACGTTCCTGTGGTGAGACTTTTGCTGATGGACCGAAAACCTTCTCTGACCGTGACGCTGATGCTTTGTGACTTAGCCGCCAATAGTGCAGCCAAGTTTGGGGTTCCTGCACACACTGCAGTTCCTCCTTCCAAATCTCAGTGCTGGCTGTGTTCGCCAGAGATGGTCTGTCTTACCAGCCTGCCCAGCCCTTTCTCAAACGGTCTCCCCTGCTCACAGTGTGGCTGTAGTCCAGGGGTCAGCACACTATAGCCTGTAGAACAGATCTCGGCCAACAGCTATTTCAGTAAATGCACTTTTATGGGAACGCAGCCACACCCGGTCACTTATGTATTGTCTGTGACTGCTTCTGTGCTACGACAGCAGAGTTGAGTGGTTTTACAGAGAATAAATGGTTCCCCAAACCTAGCATATTTACTCTATGACCTTTCACAGAAAAAGTTACCAGCTCTTCTGTAGGCTGTTCTGTTCAGTTACTCCGCTGTGTTTGACTCTGTGATCCCAGGGACTGAGACATGCCGATGACGTTAGTGTATATTACTTCTATAACCCCAGTGGCCAACACTCAGGGTGCAAAGAGAACCGACCTGGAAGCTCGTCTCCTCCATTCAGATTGTCTCTGCAAGGAATCTGTGATGACAATAGTCAGGGGTCCACTTGTAAGCAGAAATTAGAAAGTCAGTCCATGTCAAGACTGAAGAATGAAGCTAATCTGCAGAGAGAAAAAGTTAGATCTTGCTTCCCAGAGGAAACAGAAATGCTGGAAATAGCAGCTGTGCTGGCTCCTACTGACTTTCCTGTTCCTGGTTCTAGTCTCTCACAGGGCCCAGCTGCATATTTTGACCTTGGATTTCAGGAGATAACCTTGTATGCTTTCAATAAATTTCCCTTTTCTCTTAAGCTCATTTTGTGACCAAGTCAGTGAGTTTAGGCTTTAGGTATGCATAAGGTTTTCATTCAACATCCTTTCCTTCGTAAAGCTTGCTTCATTTTCCCTTGGCCTCACAATTCTCCTCTTAGACATTTAAATCCGGCCGTAGCATATCTGACAACAACATTAATTAGAAATGGGAAACTGATTCCTGTGGGGGAAGGAAGGATGCTGGTGGGAGAATAGGGTTAGGAAATGATCAATTTGTGATCATTTGGGACTTTTGCAACTTGTATGCAGAGGCATGCAGAACATTTCCCTCTCTACTTTTGTGCTTTTGTGAAAGTTTAGATGGAAAATATTTTTTATTCATTTTGAAATAACAATGCCTTGTTTTTTTCCACAAAAGTTTTTGGCCTCACTAATCATGTGGTGATTTTCCCTTATTTTAGTACTATCTGGATTTTTTAAAATGTGTTTCCAAAAATATAGGGAAGAGAAAAAGTTTCTGGGCTTTTTGGAGGGCTTCTCCAAGAATCTAATTAGCATCATAAACAGTTAGAATGTAGAATGATGCTTTGATTGAATCAGGTAGGTGTGTTGATGTCTTCTTGCCAGCTCCTCATGTTTTGGCTTTGACTTTATTAATTTTTCTCTGGAATCTGGGTCTCACGAACTTTTAAAAAGTACAGTAGCAAACAAGCAGATAATAATGAATATGATCACTGTTTGGCACAGTCATCAAAATCCCTCTTAGGTTATTGATTCTTTAAAAATTGGGTGTTGTTATCTTTTGTTCCTCGATGTAGGCAGACAGATGATGATGACACAGCCTGAGAAGAAAATGATAGAGTTTAGGGGGCATAGATCTTATTGATCTCTGGGCACTTTTGAACTTTTGTGGAATTTATAAAATTTGTAATTTTTCTTTTCTGTTACAGTATGTGGCCCTACTCTCCTAGAGCACTTTAAGTACAATTAATGATTTACTTAAAAGGTTTGAAGCAATATTTTATGGGTTGTTGGAAACATTAAACTTAATTTCAGAGAAGTCACACTGACAATATAAGGGAGCGTGAGGACTTTTGAATTGTATCCAATAGAATAATTTTTGATTGCAATATCCTAATGACTAAGAAATGATAAAACTCTTGTGCCCATATCATTTAAAATTTTCAAGAAATTTGAGGTTTCTTCCATATTGCTTAATATATTTCTGCAGATTATATCTGTATTTATTTTTTTGCTTGGATTTCTCTTTATGCTTAGTATTTTAGGTAACATTTCAAAGGTGTTTCTATGCCTTATATTGTGTGCTGAATTAATTTTATCTCTTTAACAAACACAAGTTCTTTCTGTGTGTGAGACACAGTGGTATATAAGTGTTTTGAAAAGATAGCTCATTTATACCCCACGGCCATATGAGATGAGAGTTACTATCTCTGCATACAGTTGGGGAAACAGAGGCACAGACTGATTCAAGTAGCCTGCCTAAAGTCACACATTCAGTAAAGTGCATGATCAGGATTTGAACTAAAATTATCCAGTTCCAGAACTGATATTTATAACCACTCCTGCGTATGAAGTGTTAGCATTCACTCATTTTGTAGAGAGATACGGATTTTACTCCTCAGGAAATTACCGCTCACAATACTTGTTCTATAGATTTGGACATAGGATCTCTTGAAACATGTCAAAAAGTACACTTGTAAATCAGTGAGCATTCTTGCTCAGATTCAGCCGTCAAATATTTCCAACCACGCCACTCTGTCCAGGGCACAACAAGAGAAGAACCTGGGTGACAAAATCATTGCCAAAGTCAATGTCCATTCGAAACGCAGGGCAATGCCAGCTTTCCTCTCTTTGGAGGCTTAGATTGAGGTTAGGACAAAATGATCAGATGAGCAGTCCTTTATTCTAAACTACTTCTCTGGGTCTGAAAAAAGGTAGATTTGCTTCAATCATCCCAATTGTCTTGCATTATCACAATAGATTCAAGTTGTCATATGAGTTAAAGGCAACTGTGCTCAAGATTTTAAGGAAAAAGTTTGTTTCTGAGAATTTTCTTTCTTGGCCAGCAACAGAAATTGCTTTGTTTCATTCAATTTTTTTTCACTATTATAAATTTAAAAGATTATTTGGCTTAAGTTTGAATTGAGCATACTATTTCCTATTTACCTTTTCTCAAGGAAAACGTATATACTGGAATAATGTCACACTTTTCTCTCTTTTTACCTTCTTCTTCTTCCTTCCCTTTATATTGACTCCTTTCAACATTAGGAATAACAAGGTGATTTAGGTTTTTTTTTTTTTTTTTTTTTTTTGATTTAGGTCTTAATGCCTGCCCTAAGGAGCTCAGAGTCTCACAGGAGAGATAGACATCAAAACAAAAAATTATAAATCAATGGAATGAGCACCATGCTGGGAATATGCCAGAGTGTATGTCAGAGACAAGCCCCTTAAAACCATGCCAGGAATCCATATTAAAGAAATGACTGTCAAACGTAGAAGCTGGTGAAAGCCAAGAGGACAGCAGAGAGGGAAGACATCGCCAGCGTCTGAAATCAGAACCCGGGAGGGTAGTGGGGCAGGTATCACTCTCAAGGTCCTGAAGTGATCCAAAGAAAGAAACAATCAGGAATAAGTGGAGGAAAAGTGTGCAGAAGATCAATTTTAATTCCGCTATAATGAGTCCTGCTAACACAGGATCTTTTTTTTTTCCCCCTTTTGGAACCCTTTAAAGGAACAAGAAGGAAAAAGCCTAACCCAAAAAAAACCTCCGGTTGCCCCAAGGAAGCCGGGGTGGAACGGAAAACAAAAGAAACAAAAGGGAAAAGAAACCAATCCAACCCCAAGGAACGAAGGAAAGCCGAAAAAAAAAGTCAATGCCTGAAAATGACAACAAAAAACGAAAAAAAACAAGTCCCCAAGAAAAAGGGTGGAACCAAAAGGGGGGCAAATTATAGAAACAAAAGAAGACATGGAAAATTTGAAAAAGGCTATCCAACCCTGGTCGCTGTGGTTGAAATGTAGAGCCTACATCAGACTGTGGTTTGACTTGCCTCTTATTCCCTCTGACTCCTACTCCCCGGCGTCCAGTGTTTCTGGTGGGGCTGCCATTCCCAGTACTCCCCTACCCCCATGGGAACGCATGCAGGCGTAGCCAGGCACAGTTCCTTTTCCTCTGCCCACAGTGATTCCTGTGGCAGTGCTGGGATATCAGAGTCTGCTTTCAAATTCTGGTCCCACCATTTCTTACCACAGCAAGGTACTTGGACAAGTTACTTTTTCTATGCTCCATTCCCCATCTCCAAAATGGGATTGATGATAGGGCTTTTGTGAGGACCAAATCACTTTATATATATATATTAAATATTGTATATTAATATATTACTATTGTATATAAAGTATAACACACACACACACACAAAGAGAGAGAGGAGTATGGAGGAGTGTGGAGGAGGAGTGTGTAGGAGAAATATGGAGGAGTATGGAGGAGTATGGAGTAGGAGTGAGGAGGAGGAGTGTGGAGGAGGAGTATGGAGGAGGAGTGTGGAGGAGGGGTATGGAGGAGGAGTATGGAGAAGGAATATGGAGGAGTTCCAGTGCCTGGAACGTGGTACACACTCTCCATGGTAGCGTGTACTCACTTAGAGTGGAGGAAATTGTACTTTGCATTTTTAGTCAAGTGATTGGAAGAAAGTGCGGTGGGAACTCATGGGAGACATTTATTCTGCCATGTGGAGCAAGTCTGTGTATGCCAAGGATGAAAATGGCCAGCACCTAAGGAGCAACAGAATCAAGATAGCCATTTACCCACTGTATATGCATCTATATCTTTATCAACATTGATCTATTGTGGGATCAACAAATTTCTTGACTAGTCTGAGTTGGATTCCTGTCACTAGATACTTAAAGAGACATATATGAATATTTCTAGGAAAGCTTGGAGAGAGTTGAGGCTGAATAGGATTGGTTGGACTTCATCCTTTAAGCTATGGTATAACATTAACGTTTTTCGACATAGAATGATACAATCAGAGATGTGATGGAAAAAACAAACAAAACTCTGGTTACTGGGTGAAGAATGGAGTGATATTCAGGCTTTTTTTATACCTGGAGCTATACTTCTAGCTTATAACATTTCACAATTATACTATGGAGCTTTATTTGGCAAATGATTACTCTAATGAAGAGAGTTGTAGCCCAATGATTTTTTTTTTTCCAGAGGTAATCACAATGATTCTGCATTTGATTCTCTTTAAAAGTAATAATGATGAAACTGGAAGCATAGAGGGTTAAGACTTTACTTAAGAAGGAATTTTTACTTGCAAGAGTGTTTAGCATTCCCATGAGAAACATTGAACATTTACACCATGTTTTGCTGCTCAGCTGAGCTGCTTTGGAAGAATTTGGGGGGTTCAGGTCCTACTTTGATACTGCAGTATACTTCTAACCTAACTCCATTTCCTCCTCTGTTTTAGTTGCTCTTCTAGATGGAGCCTCCTAAAATAGTACTCTGAAAAAGTATATCACTTCCCCTACTGAGAGATTTCAGTGACTCGTGTGTATTAGGGAAAATACAAAATCCTCAGTCTGCCTTTGAGGTTACAGTCTTGTTCTTAATTGCAGTTGGTGAGCAAATATTTTATTGAGTGCCTACTGTGTGTCAAGAATCTCTAATAGATATATAATGAGTCACATATATAATTTTAAACTTTTTAGTAGTCATATTAAAAAGCTAAAAAGAATTAGGTAATTTTAATGTAAATAATACATTTTATTTAATCCAATATATTCAAAAATATGTTGTTGTTGTTAGGTCACTAAGTCATGTCTCACTCTTTGCGAGCCCATGGACTATAGCCCATCAGACTCCTTCATCCATGGGATTTCCCAGGCAAAAATACTGGAGTGGGTGGACATTTTCTTCTCCAGGGGATCTTCCCGACCCAGGGATCAAACCTGAATCTTATACTTGGCAGGGGGATTCTTTGCCTCTGAGCCAACAGGGAAGAGCATACACAAAACATATAAACTATATGAATATTGAATATTACTAATGAGATATTTTATGTTCATTTTTAAGAAATCTCAGGTATCCAAGGTGTAGTTTATACTTACATCACACCTTAATTCAGATGACAAATTTTCCTTGAAAATCCTTAATCAATAATTAGAACTCCTAAGGTGTACAGCTGAAAAAAGCAGACTCATATTTAAGTTGTTCCAAACATTCTTGCAGATTTTCAGTAAGTAAGCTGGGTATCAGTTTTTAGCTTTAAATTTTAATTAATTGAAGATGAATACAATTTGAACTTCAGTTCCTTAGTCTCAGTAGCAACATTTTGGGATACACATGTGTCTCACGGCTGCTGTAGTGACCAGCACAGTTCCAGAAGCATGGGCCTCACACTCATGAAGTGTACATTAACTCACCTTTCCAGCTCTATCTTCTGCTGCTTCTTTACAATGTCAGATGGATTAAATCTGTCTCAGACTCTATTCAGGCTGTTCCAGGTAAGCTCATTTTGTCCTTCAAAAGATGTTCTTCTAAATTATTGAACTCTACTTACCTTCAGAGATTAAATGCTCAAATGTTAACCCACCTAGGCAAAACCTCCTTGATCATGTAGGCAAGAAGTGTTCTATATTTTCTATTAATAAATACTTGCAGAACTGTGATTGCACCTTTGTTTTGACATTGATCTCACAGTACCATGTGGTCTTTGGAATCAGTAAACCCAGGTTTGATATCTGGTCCTACCACTCATTGGCTATATGATCCTGAGTCACTACCTTTATTTTTCTATTTCATCATCTGTAAAGTGATGACAACTTTGTCTGCCTGATGGGATTGTTGGGGTGAGATAATGCTGAAAAGATCAGCACTTAACCTGTTAGTGTGTGCTAAGTCACTTCATTTGGGTCCGACTCTTGGACTGTTACTGTTACTCATGGACTGTAACTCGTCAGGCTCCTCTTTCCTGGGATTCTCCAAGCAAGAATACTGGAGTAGGTTGCCATTTCCTTCTCTAAGGGACCTTCCTGACCCAGGAATCGAACCTGTATCTTCTGCGTTTCCTGCATTGCAGGCAGATTCTGTACCCATTGAGCAGCATGGGAAGGTCATAGATATTCCTTCTCTCTCTTAAATAAAATGATTTATAAACAGCAACCATAATAGTAATATGGTAATGGCAATACTAATAAGCTAGTCCTAGTTCCTATTCAATTGTTTCATAATATCTAATCCTCAAAACAATTAAATTATCCTCATTTTACTGTTAAGGACACTAAAGCAGACAGAGATTATGTAATTTGCATTAACTCATGTCACACGACCAGGAGGAGATGCAGTTGGTTTTAAATAATAGCTGGAATGAGCTATAGTTTGAATACCTTTTATTAATATTTTCTCTCTTGTGGTTTGCAGGTGAGGTAGAGGAGCTGGCAAAGGATTTGGAATCAATTTCGATCCTGAATGCTAATCCCGTCACTGACAAGGAATCTGTTCCTGGAAAACCCACTTAATCTCTCTGAACCTCAAGTTCTTGTACTGCAAAACGGAGGTAATAAAACCTAGCAGGAAGTATATGGTATACAGGTTAAGTTCAAAGTGTCTGCTGTTAAATTCAACTATCTCCTTTAGAATCCCTGGCTTTGAACATTCAGAGAGTTACTGAATTCTTCTACTGCACTTTCCTCATCTAAAAAATGGGAAAATGAATACTATTGAGCTCATAGATTTGTTCTAAATGTTAAATGATGCAATCCACGCAGACACACAGAATTGTAACTAGACACAGTAAACACTTAGCAAATGTCAGCTGTTAGTATCATTATTACAAGGCAGGGCTTGGTATGGACGGAATACGGAACTGGTTTAATTAAGTTCCCATTTTCTTCCACTTCTCCTCCTCTTTATAGTTATATCCTTATATTTGAACCCTTTATAGACTATAATAATACATCTTACATATACTGTGTACTCTATAAACATTCAGCTGAATAAATGGATGTTTCAACCAGTCTTTTATATTATTTATATTTTACACAAGTACATCAGTATTATTTTCAGAGAGTGTAAAATAATTGCATGTGAAGTAGAGATAGTAAACTAGTTTCTAGTACATAATGTTTTATATTTCCCTTGGGCTTGCAGTGATTTTAGTTATGTTTGAGGTATTATGAATTTCATATGCATAAAACTTCCTATTCAGTCAGTATGGTCCTCTGTCCAATTCTGATAAACTTAAATTAGAATATCTTTCAAAGTCAACCACAGTACCAGACTGTACTGAAAATGAATTCATAAGGGAGGCAAATATTGTCATAAGCAGTTGATAAAAAGATTTGAATAATGTGAAATGCTACAGCAGAAACTGTTGAGGTGTCATGAATCTTATACACACTGTTCTTCATTTCTAGTTCTTAAATATGACCTTCCTGCTCTGAATCTTTTATTGTGCTCCCAATTTCATTTGCCAGTTGTTATGATCTGTTCAATCTCTGAGCAAAATCATTCTCCTCATTTTCAAAAACCCGAGCTTCTCTAGTTCTCATTAGGTCTTTATTTGGATTCAGACTTTCTTAAATTAAAATTATGTACATTGTGTTCACTTCTTGTTCTTGTGCAGTGGCAAGATTGGAAGTTTTTTAAAACTCAGCAGTCACTTTTTGACCATAAGTAGAACGTTTAGCACTGTCCTAGGCAGTACAGGCCAGGAAGAGGACCGTCCCTGAGATTTTGGAATATATAGTCTAGTGACAGTGATGTTACATGCACATACACATGTAAAACAAAACAGATGACACTACACTATCATAGTAAAATACAGTTTTTTTTGAAATGTGGAGAGGGAGAGAGGGGTTCTACTGGTCGTGAATAATGAGGAGGGTAGAATTCTTAGATGAATTGAACTGGGTCTTGCTTAGCTAGTAAGGCTTTCACCTAAGAGGTGGGCTGAGTGAGTGCAAAGACACATAAAATGGGAAGAAAACAGTAGTAGACGGTCAATGAATGAGATCAATAAGGTGCAGTTTGGTCATAGGCTGGGGAAAAAAAAAGCAGAATCCAATTGTGGAAAACATTGTCAGACTGTAGTCTATGATTTATTTTGATGTATTGAGATACCATTGAAGATTTCCAATTGCTTGAATTAAAAGTGAAGCTTTTGAAATATTGAAAGTTTTTAATTTGTTCCATCACAATTTACCTATCCATAATTAAAATCTTCATACCACTTAATTGAAGATATTTGTATACATTTTAAAAACTGAAAATGCAGGTGATTTTAAACCTATGCAGCTTTGATAATTTTATTTTTGTTTGATATTTAAATTAAAGCTCTGACCAGGAATATTTTTTTTTTTATTGGAGTATAATTAACATATAACATTATATTAGTTTCAGGTATACAATAAGTATTTTACGTTTGTATACATTGCAAAATGACCAACAAGATAACTTTAGGTTTCATCTGTCACCATAAAAAGTTATAAAAAATTTAATAACATTATTCAACATAGAAAATCAAGTGATTATTTTGAAATCAAGTGATTATCTTTTCCTCTGTTTACTATATTCAATATTATTATTATTTTTATTGAAAGTGTACAGCATTTCTGTAATATGCTAAAATGATTATATTAGTTTTCTATTCCTGTATAACACATTATTACAAACAGTGGCTACAGAAAGACATTTATTACTTCACAGATCTGTGGGTCAAGAGTCCAGACAGAATGGCTGGGGCTTCTGCTCAGGGCTGTACAAGGCAGAAATCAAGGTGTTGGTTGATTACATTTTCATTGGGAGTTTTCTCAATCATTCAGGTTCTTGGCTGAGCACCGTTCCTTGTGGTTGCAGGAATGATGTCCCCATTTTCTTGCTGGCTCTCAGCCATGGGTCATTCTCATTTCCTAGAGGTCACCCTCAGTTTCTAGCCACGAGAAAGGAATTGTTCATCCCCACAGCAGCAGCACATATCTTCTTACTCACCAGGGAAAACCACTGTACTTTGTAAACTTCAGATATGTGCTTGCCCACTCAGCCGCTTCAGTCATGCCCAACTCTGCCACTGTGTGGACCGTAGCCTGCCAGGCTCCTCTCTCCATGGGATTCCCAGGTGAGAATGCTGGAGTGGTTTGCTGTTTCCTTCACCAGGGGATCTTCCCGACCCAGGGATTGAGCCTGCAATTCTTATATCTCCTGCACTCGTGGGCTCTTTACCACTAGTGCCACCTGGGAAGCCCCATGTGTGTATATGCGTGTGTGCTAAGTCGCTTCAGTCGTGTCCGACTCTTTGTGACCCCATGGACTGTAGCCTGCCAGGCTGCTCTGTCCATGGGATTCTCCAGGCGAGAATACTGGAGTGGATGCCATGCCCTCCTCCGGGGGATCTTCCTGATCCAGGGATTGAACCTGCATCTCTTTAAGTCTCCTGCATTGGGAAGTAGGTTCTTTACCTCTAAGCACCATCTGGGAAACCCTTGTATGTATATGTGTATGTATGTGTGTATATATATACACACACACACACATATATAATATATATATAATATAATATATGTGTGTGTGTATATGTATTCACAGAAGTACGATCATGTAATTCATCATAAATATTTTATGTTCCAATAAAAATGTTGAATTATTTTTAATGACTAAATAGTATCCTATGATATGGTTGCACTATAATTTACTTTTGTTATTGTTGGATATTTACTTTGCTTTAAACTTTCAATATTATAAACAAAGCTGCAATGTGCATAGATACTGTACCAATGCCTTGTGCATTCCTATAGAATAGATTTTAAAGTCTTTAAATGCCAAATTGACCACTGCTGGTAGGCACTACTGAAAGTTGTAGTAACTATCTCATTTAAGGCATTTGCTATGTTAGTGTTGAAACGTTGTAACATAACTCACAATACTTCTACACATTTGTTAATGTTGTTAGTAAAATCAGCAGTGTGGGACAGTGGCTGAAAAGGATCGGTGATATGCTAATGATTCCACACATCTAATGTGTATCATGGTTAATTTTGTATGTCAACTGGACTGGGCCACAGAGTGGTCAGATGTTTGGTCAAACATCATTCTGTGTATGTTTGTGAGGGAGTTCCTGGGTGTGATTAACATTGGAATTAGTGGGCTAAGTAAAGTAAATTGCTGTTTCTAAAGTAGGTGGGACTCATTAAATCAGCTGAAGGCCTAAATAGAACAAAAAGAATGAAGAGGGAATTCTTTGTGCCCAGCTGCCTTTGAGCTGAGACATCAGTTATTTCCTGCCTTCAAACTTGAACTGAAACAGTCTCTTTTTGTTAAGTATTATTTCTTCAGCTTGTAAACTACAGATCTTGGAACTTTTTAGCTTCCATAACTGCATAAACCAGTTCTTAAAAAGTCTCTTTCCATTCCATGTCCACCTGCTAATGCAAGAGACACAGCCTGGATCCCTGGGTCAGGAAGATTCCATAGAGAAGGAAATGGCAACCCACTCCAGTATTCTTGCCTGGGAAATCTCATGGACAGAGGAGCCTGGTAGGCTACAGTCCATGGGTTCCTAAAGTGAGGCACAACTTAGCGACTGAGCATGCACACACCTATTTAAAAATCTCTTTATCTATTTATCTATCCATACTATTAATCTTGTTTCTCTGCAGAACCATAATACAATGTGCTTTATTTGTGGGTGGAATAGGTTTTTTTGTTGGCTGTGTTAGGAGTCTCATAGGCAGATAGAAATAGAATACAGTACAGTCAGCAACCTTTGGTTTTCTTTTGTTAAACATGGGTGAAAATCACTTATTATGTTTTCTGAACAGCTTGGGTTCTCAGTTTCCTTATCTGCTAAAAAAAAGGGGGGCTTAGTTGCAAGGTTTAAATGAGATTATTTCATGGACCATGATGCATGGTAAATACTTTACAAAATACTAGTACTTTTTTCCTCCTTCTTCTTAAGAATCTTAAAAAGCACGCAGATTGACTGTTTCATATGTGCTCAGAAGCTGAGCCTCGAAATCCCTTCATTAGAAGCCATGTTCACTTGTGCGCCAGCAGTTCTTCAGAGTGAAGTTATACTACCTGCTGTTACCGAGTTATTTTTTAACAATATCTTGTTGGCAAACACATGGGGTGGTACTGAATAACTGCCTCCGAAGTTAAAGATTACTCTCTTCAATATGAAGAGAGTTTTATTACTGTAAATATGATCTGGCTTAACCTCAATCTAAATCACCATAGCATATAAGTACAGGAATGCCAGAAATGCATTAATGCTAACCCTAAAGTCTGGGCTCCTCTGGCATTTATGTATAATGTAGGAACACAGGTCAGATTATTCCTACTTATTAATTTAAACGAATGTATATTTTTAAGCTTTATCCCCCCAAATAAATTGAATGGAGAATATGTTTATTACAAGTTCAGCACATATAGAAAATGATTCTCAGTTTGACTGAGTTAAAAATACTTTTCTATATCTTAAAAAATGGAATGCAGAATTCTTATTAAAAGAGTAAAAAAATTTTTTTGAGTACATTTAGAATTCTACTTGTTTACCTAAAG